GTGCTACCCCCATCAATCCTACATCCCCCTGGGGGTCCTTGTGCCCGCTGGTGCCCTGGTTTTGGCAGCACAAATTCACCTTTTGGGGCTCCCAGCTCCTCTGGGCTCTGCAAGTACCTCACAGCTCAGCTTCCCCTCCTGCCAGCACCTGGCCTCCCACCCTGAGAGGATTTATTCCTCCCTGAGCAGGTCTCCAGTGCTGGAATTAATCAGGGAGATGGACGAGTACAAGCCCATTTATTGTGCACTGTGGGTGAGTGATAAGTCTGTGCCAGAGCCTGGGAAAGCAATCAGGAGAAGGGAGAGAAGGGAAGAGGAGGGAAGAGCAGCATTGTGGGTAAATATGTGCACTTCTGGTGGTGATTACCCTCCAAGTAATTAGTTTTTAAATCAGGCAGACGTTTCGGGAACTGCTCGCTATGAGCTGCTTTAATTATTTATACTCCCTTTTATTCTGATTATTTATAGTCCTCCTCTTTGGATGGAGATGCTCTTTGGAACCTGACCCATCTCCAGCCCTGCCTGGCCCTGCAGCCCCCTCCTGCAGGGCTGCCAGGCACCCCCAGAGCCCAGCTGTGCTGGGGGACCCCTCTCCCTGCCAGAGCCAGGCAAGGCAAGCAGGGCTCATCCTTGCTGTGGAAAGCTGCTCAGCTCGGTAATTAAACTCTCACTCATCTTCATTTCCCTCATTTGTTCAAGTGAGGCCACTCAATAAGCCATTAGTGCAAGGTCCTTGCTGCCATCCTGAGGCACATTTCCCTTGGAGGGTGTGGGCAGGGGGGGCAGCTCCTTGCCTTGCTTTCCCCTGCCCAAACCATCCTCACCCAGCCCCTCCCAGGTCACTCCTGGGACACTCTGGGGATCTGGGGGGAATTTTGCAATGGCCAGCCCTTCCCCCAGCTGGGATTTTTTCCACAGCACCACACCAGCCCGTGTTCCATCAGAGCATCTGGTGTTGTTGCTCTCCCTTGGCCAAGCCCACCTCTCTGGTGCTTCCCAACATCTGGAAGCCATTCCCTGCACCATTCCCATGAAGGGACCTCCGACCCCTTGAGCTCCTCCTCTGGCCTAAACAAAAGCTGCCCTTACTGCTGAGCTGGGGAATTTTGCCTGATTTCCCCTTTCTCTATCCACAAATCATTTCTCAACCTGTCACCAGGACAGCATCAGCCTGGAGAGCCCTGGAGCATCCTCTGTCCCCCTCCATGGACACACTCAGATTCCAGAATCTGCCTGGGAAGCCCTGTGTCGCACACATCTTTTATGAAAAATCCTTTCCTTAGGATTTTTCCTCCTGAGAAGCTGAGAAGCCTCAGGAACAAAATGTAAACAATGATTATCTGCGTCTGTGGAATACAACAGGTGCATCTGTGATTGGTCGCATGTGGTTGTTTCTAATTAATGGCCAATCACAGTCAGCTGGCTCAGACTCTCTTTGTCCGAGACACAAGCCTTTGTTATCATTCTTTCCTTTTCTATTCTTAGCTAGCCTTCTGATGAAAGCCTTCTTGCTTTGTGTGATTGGTCAAAAAACTTATAAAGTGAGTTGTAACACTGAGTTCTTCGTCTGCTGCCTGGGATGTGAGCTGCTGGCATCTCCCCATTGTCATAACCATGTAATGAGACTGATGCTGGAAAATAAAACAGCTCGAGGCACTTTCCACAGCAGCCCCGTCTGTAAATAACCCCCCTGCTGGTGTCAAGGAATTCTCTTCCACCCCAAACAGGGCAGTTTTGGGGCTGGACTCTCCCATCACCCTCAACCCTACAGCAATGATTACACCAAGGCTGGGAACAGACATTTCCAAACAAGCCTCCTTCTATTTGCATTCGAAACATTTATTTTGGGAAATACATATTAAACACTATTATTTATACAAAAATGGACTAAATTTTCATAATGCTTATAACCCCCAAAAGGCCATTTTTAATAGATCTGGATGAAGGGCTTTTTATTGTATTATTTTCTTTTTTTTCCTTCAAAAAAAAAAAAAAAAAGTCAGGATACAAAGGAGAAAGCGGCGTGTCTTGCTTGGCCCAGCTTGAGATACCAACTAGAGGGAAAAAAAGTTTAAGATGGCATTTACAGGAGTGCCTCACACAAGAGGTTTTTTTCTCCCCTTTCAGTCTTTTTTTAACACTTGAAATATTTTTTTTTTCAGTTAATACATTTGTGGTTGTTTTTTGCTAAAATATAGCAAGTCAGCAAGTAGAGAGTTGTTGTTCCCCAACAGCTCTGTGGGGCTGCTGTGGAGGGGGGATGTGAGTGAAGGGGAGAAGGGATTCTCACAATTCACCCCACTTTGGCTGCTGGGGGGGTGTGTGGGGAGCCCCTGAAAAGCTGGGGAGCCCCAGCAAGGGGAGAGCAACCTCCTCCCTCCTCCTGTGCTGAGCCAGGCTCTGTCCCCCGTGGGCTCTGCAGGTGCCTTCCAGTGCTAGAGCATGGACACGCTGCCACTTCAGTGTGTGCCCCCATATGGGTGATTTGCAGGAAGTTTTTTTCCCTTAGAGAGGACTGGGAGACTGGTGGACACCAGAAAGGCAAAGGGGAGCTGGGGAGAGGGGCAGGACTGCAGAGCTTTGCTCCAGGAACCCCTGCTCCTGTGTCACAGTGCTACCTAATGCTTGCAGGGTCTGATTTACACAGAAAGAGAAGGGTCTGGGGGCAGAGCTGGGGGAGCAGCACCCACAAACACCCCCCAGCTCCCCCCACAGCTGCAGGGCTCGGTCAGCACATGCACAGACACCCTGCACAAGGACCAGCACAACAGGAGCATCTTCCCTGGACACACAGGGGACCCAGGAAATGAAAAGGAATTTACAGCTACCCAAGAGCCTCCTCTGATGTAGGGAAAAGCCCAAGAATCACAAGGGTCAGACAGGACAACCCTCTGCCTCCCAGCACTGCTTTGCAGAGACAAAGTTCCACACTCAGCCCCCTCAGGACAAACACACTCAGAGCCTTCAGAGGACAAAGACCCACCCAACTGAGTGACAAATAAATACACAAGTGTTCCCAGGACATCAGCCACAGCTCTGGCCCGAGGGAGAGGGAATGAGAGTCTCTGTGGAGGTTCACAGCCTTGTGCAGGCTGCAGAGACAGACAAGGCAGAGCCTCCCTCCCCTCTCCCACGCTATTGCAAGGTCACAGTCTAAAAGGCACTTCTCCCAAAGCAGGGCGCTCTGCCTGGCCGGGGGTCGGTGACAGGTGAGGTGACACCTCAACACTCCCAGTTTATTGCATGTAGACAGGGTACAGGGGCTGGTTTGGGGGCTGGTGGCTCCCAGAGGGCTGTAGGAGACAAGGATGGCACTGGCTTGCTCTCTTCATCCCACCGTACCTCGCCCTGAAGGCTCCATCCACCTGGAGGAGCCCTCGCCTTCCATGGACGGAGAGGAGGGGCTGCAAGGGCTCCCAGGGCACCCCAGCCCTGCTGGCCCCACAGATCGGCTCCCCTGGTGTGGCTGTGGGGCCACAGCTGGGGGCAAGTGAGATCCCAGCCTGCACAGAGGGACGGACCCCGGGCCAGGGACGCCGCTCCGGGGGCTGAGCACAAAACTCATGGCACAAAGCAGGGGGAGAGCGGCCACCCCGCTCCACGTCTGGTTATTTGGTCAGTTTACATGGCAGGGGGTCAGGGAGCAGGGCAAGAGGGACAGTGGCAGAGGATTTATATAAAAATAAAGGGGGGAGAGGGGAGAAAGAGCGAGCGTGAGCGAGCGAGGTCCTGGCTGCGGCGAGGGACGGTTACATTTCGTTGGCCACCAGCTCCTTGTCAGCCACGCCGTTGGACAGAGAGCTCTGGCCCTCGTTCAGCCTCTTCACCCTGTAGGCTTCAAAGTGGATGTTGCTGGTAATATCCTTGATGTTCTGCATGTGTGTCCTGCAGGGAAGGGAGATGGAGCAATCGCACCAGCCCATGTCACCCCAAACACCCCCAGGCCCAATGTCCCCTCCTGCCTTGCTGGTTAACGCAGGTTAATTCCCTCCTTTAGGGCACAGGAGGGAAGCAAAGGCAATCATTGGCAGCATTATTGGGCAGCAGGAGCTGAAGCCTTCATTCATGCCTGGGGACACAGACCTGTGGCTGCACAACACCCACCCAGGGAGATCCCCACCCTGACAGTCCTGGGCTGAGGTTTTGTAGCCCCTCATAACTCTGCCAGCAGCAGAGTGATCACCTGTGCAGAGTTGGCTTTGCAGCCAAACTGGGGAGGAGCCCAATGTCCCCTCTCTAGCAAGCCCAGGGGGCTCAGCCTCCCTCTCCCCACAGCAGGGACACTTCTTTCAGGAGGGACCAGCCTCACCCCGACCCCACAGTGACACCCCAGTGAAGGGTGATGCCTCTGAACTGGGGGTGAGATCTGGCACTGGTGAGGGCCCACTAAGGCCAGAAGCTGCTTGCAGGCAAGCTGGAGCCACACTGCCACCAATCCTGGAGTGTGTCCTGACCCCTCCACCGCCCCTCTCCCCCTGCACTCGGCCCCCAAAGAGTGGGGCCACCCCTTGCAGTGGGCGGGGAGGGAAGGCAGGGATGGAGGGTGGAGGGAGGGAGTAGCAGAGCAAACAGCAGCTGCCTCAAGCTGTGCTGGGCTGTCCCCTTTCCCTGGATGCCACCTGGTGACCAAAGGCTCTGGGACAGGGCACTGACCTGATGAGGAGGTCCCGCAGGTAGGCGAACTCACAGTGTGTTGTGTTCTCCACTGGCAAGAGAGACAGAAACCATCAGTGAGCCCCCACGGCACCACCTGGGGCAGCAGCACCTGGGGGCTTCCCCAGAGTGTGGGGGGCTCAGGTGGGCTCTGACACCCCAGGGCACAAGTGCAGGACTCAGGAGTCCTCTTTGCTGCTGGAAAGCTCAGCCCTGGTGAGGTCTGACAGCAGCCACAGCCCTTCCCAGGGTCCCACCAACGAGGAGCTCCCAGCAGCACCCCCAGCACAGCCCCAGAACCCCAGACAAGACAGGGGGAGGGCTGTGGTGAGCTCTCCACTGAAGTTTCATCTGTAGCTCAGCCATGAGCATCCTGCAGAACCCCAGGCACACTGTGAGGGCTGTGCAAGGACAGGAACTCCTGCTGCCAAGGGCCTCTGCTGGCAGGAGGAGGAGTGCTTGCAACAGGGAGAAACCAAGGGGTGCTGCTCCACCACAATCAGTCTGACAGCTGCTATTTTACCTCTAATTTTACTCAATTTAGAGGAAGAATGCCTTTTTAATTGGTTTTTTATCCCAAAAATCCTGTACATAAAATAGCAGAATCCTTTATGCTGGAGAAGACCTCTAAGATCATTGAGTCTAACTATTAAACATCATGCAGGAATGGCAAAACACAAACACAACTGCTCTGCAAAGGCTGCCTGTGGCCATGGCTGTGTCCTGGGGGTCTCCCTGTGCAGAAGGCAGATGCCTTCACAAGGGGAAGGTGAGGGTTTAATGAATCCCATTGGACTCAGAATGTTCAGGGATACAGCACAAGAGGGCAGCAGAGCTTCAAAATACACCGATTTTCCTGGCAGCTCTGTTAAACCATCCCTCAACACAGGATTCCTATTAAAAAGACTTGTAAATGAGAGGAACCTGTGAAGTGAAGGGGAGGAAGATGAGAGGGGTGGCACTGGAGATGAGCCAGCTGGCTGCCAGAAACCAGCAACAGGGAAATGTGTGGATGTGCTGGAGCCAGGAGCTTTCATCTAGCCTTTAAACCATGATTGTAAAATGGAGGAGAAAAAAAGGCAGATGGAGATGGGAGATAGAGGGAAGAGATCCCACAAAGGCACCAACTAAAGGCATGGTGGAGGGTACAGATGCCAGGGGAAGGTTCTAACAGGGGCTTGAGACATGGGGATGTCACTGGTGTGCCCTCAAATCTGGCCCTCAAACATGAGGAAAATTATCTTATTTTGGAGGGACAGGGAAGCAGCACATCCATTTTATTTTCTACCGCTGGTTTTGGACTTTATTAGGGCAGGGAGGTGGGCTCAGGTACCTTCAATGGTGCCCCACTTGGTCTTCCTCCCAAGGATTCTTCTTCCATTCACCTGGTACTCCTGGTCACTGCCCACCACTGCAAATGGGATCATTTCCTGTCGGAAGAGAAAAACAAGGCTGTGATTTCTTCTGAGAACTGCTCAGGAAAGCAAACCAGTGAGCAAAGTCCTACATCCTCCTGCTTCCAGGGGGGTTTCATGGGATGAGCTGGTTTGCCCCTGATGTTCCTGAGCAGTGCTGCCTGCCAGGGCCCACAGGCAGCCCAGGACTGGGTACCAGCATCTCCTGCACATGTGCCCAGCCTAAAACCAGCCCAAACCCAGCCTAGTCCAGTCCCCCATTGGCAGGTACCAGGTACAGCTGAGCAAAGGTATCCCAAAACCTCCCTGGGAATTGCCCCCAGCAACCTGTGGCCAACTCATTTCCTGATCCAAGTTGGTGTCTTTGAACTTCAGAGTCCCTAAAAGATATTTTTCTTCCACAAATTTGTCCAATCCACTTTAATGTGCCAAAAAATTGCTGGCTGATTCCTGCAGTGTGGAATTGCTATCAGCAGGCAGCCTAGAGGTGAAATTCCATCCCAGTGCTGGAAAGGCTGCTGCCCTAGCCAGGGATGGGCAGGCACCTCTGCTCCCTGAACCTGGGGCAGGGAAAGGGCCAAGGAACCCCCGGAAAGGCAACCGCGGGGAACCGGGTCAAAAGGGGCCCAAACCGAAGGAAAAAAAGAAGAACCGAACCCAAAGTTCAAAAAGCCTGCCTTAATAATTTAAGAAAAAAGATAAAACAAAAACAAAACAAAAAAAAAAAAAAAAAGAATTCAACAAAAAGCCGGCCAAAAAAAACAAAAGAAAGAAATAAAAAAAAAACAACCGAACCCCCGGCCGAACCAACCGAACGGGAACGGCCAATAAATAAAAAAAACCAAAAAGGGCCAAACAAAAAATCTACCGGTTGCATTCCACAGCAGCAGATAATCATTGCTTATATTTTGTTCCTGAGGCCTCTCAGCTTCTCAGGAGGAAAAATCCTAAGGGAAGGATTTTTCCTAAAAGATGTCAGTGACACACCCGGCAGGGTGGAGATGGGGATGGAGCATGGACAGGACACCTTCCCCACCCTCCTTCCACCCCTGCCCTGAGCTCTGGCAGGATCCCTGCTGCAGGGCAGACCCCATGGACAGGCCACAGCAGCTTTGGGAACACAACAGAACCTTTGGAAGGGAGCCCTGAGGTCATGGCCAGCCCTGGAGCTGCAGGTCTGTCCCAGGCACTGACCCGGAATTTCTCGTTCACCAGCCGATCTTCAGAGTCCTCATCAAACTCCTTCTGGGGGTACACATCGATGCCATTGGCCAGGAGATCAGCCATTATCTAGGAGGGAAGAGCACAGGCACGGGTGAAGGACAGGCAGGCACAGGAGATGCTCCCAAAGGGTCTCTGAGTGATGCCCACCAGTCCCAGCAGCAGCATCTCCCTCTCCATCCTAAACACAGCCCCCTTTGGGGACAGACACCTGTGCCACACACCCACCAAGAGCCTGCCCTGCAACCTCTGCAAGAACCTGGTGCCAAAGACACGGCTCAGGCAGAGAGGGAGATGCAGTTACACAAGCTGGATGTTGTTTGGGGATTGGAAAAGACAAACAAGACAAGCCAAGCTGCCCAAGCAAAGGGGAACAGCTGCCAGGCTTGTAACACAAAGGTGAAAAGCTGCTCTCTGCTGTTTGTTTACACTCCTTGGAAATGGAACTTGATCTGGAGGGACAAGGACACAGCTTGGAAGGGCAGACTCTAAGGACTTTGCCTCTGTGCAAGGCCAAGAGATGCTGGAATCTGATTCCTGGGTGGAGGCTCAGCTCATAGGGAGTTTGAAGGATCAACCTTCTCCTACAGTGCTGCAAACCCCAATCCAGGCTGGCAGCAGCTCCCACCACTTCCTATGGCAACATCTCCACACCAGTCCTACAGTGCAGGCTGGAAGAGGAGAGGATCCAGCCCAGGGGGTGCTCCCAGCCAGCCTCCCACCCTCACCAAACCCCCACACTGAGTTTAGAGCAACAACCCAACAAACCCAACTCCAGGGAGCACATTCCACTCCCTCAGCACAGCACTGGCACCAGCCTGCAGCCAGGCTGGGGCTTCACATCTCCAAACCCAAAATCTACCACCTCTCTGAACCAGGCTACACCCCAGAGGCACACAGGGCTCTGCTTTTGGAAGCACACTGGAATGAATGAGTGGAAAAGGTCCCAGCCTGTGCCCAGCTGGCCTGATTTCCTGTCCTCTCATCTGCTGGGAGCAAACACACCATGTGGTGACATGCTCTCCCTCCATCTGAGAGGATTTGGGAGGTCTGGTTATAATCAGGAAGCAATCAGAGAGAGGGTGAGCTTGTCCTGTGCTGAGCCAGTGCAGAGCAGCAGAGCCAGGCACTGTGCCCATGGCATCAGCAGCCAAGGGTGCCCAGGTGACATCTGAGGTCCCAGACTGACTTTGTAGTGCCAGAGCCAGCCAGTCACCTACAGACACAGGGATGGGTGCACTGGTGACCTCTGAATGGAGCCAGCAGCCTGCAGAAGCCACCCCAGAGAGCAGATGTGGCACCATGGACTCACCCCTCCGTGCCCCCTCACCTGCCCCTTGCAGAGCTCTGTGCAAACAGCCTGACAAGCCAAGGGAGCCCAGCCTGGGCCACCCCTCAGCTCCATTCCCTGTCAGCCTCTAACCAAGGAAACTGCTTGGAGAGTTTGGAACTGCCCCCAAAACCAGACTGGCTATTTCAGTGCCTGATGCTGCTCATTAAGAACTGGGAAGGAGAGGCTCCTACTGGTATGGGAAGGTGCAGCTCACCCTCTCCTAAAGGGGGCATGGAACCACCCCTGGCTAAGCTGTCCAGAACCAGAGGAGTGGCCTCTAAACCCACCCTTTTGGCAAGATTCTCTTTCCCTTTACTTCTCCCAGGTCAGACTCATGGACCAAGGAGCTTGGTGGTTTTTACTTGTGCAGGGAATGCTGAGGCCTCACACCTGCAGCCACATCCACCACCCACACAAAGGGATTTACAGTCTCTTACCAAACCCCCAAATGGACCACCCCCACTTCTGAGAGCACAGCCCATGCCTTGCTGTGGATTCAGACAGCCAACCACGGGAATTTCATACCTTGCTTCCCTCCTAACCTCACCCAGCTGAGCTCAGCAAACCCACATGTTTTTGACTGGTTCCTGTATCAGTGCACGATGCTGCACAGGGAGGCTTTTCCAGCCCCTACGTGCATCAACCTCCCAAAATAACAGAAACCAGCCTGAAAATAACAACAACAACAACAACAACAACAAAGGAGGCAGGAGAAGCAAGCCTGCAGCTCCAAACTTATCCTGCACTGACAAAGATCCAAGAGAAACACGAGGAAGTGCTTGGAGAGCAGGCCTACCCTGCGGCCACGCGGGATCGCTCCGAGCTGCAGCCGGAGGAATGCGCTGGGCTCGGGGCCAGGCCCTGCCTGCACAGCCCTGCCAGGAGAGCCACGAGGGGGGCAAGGGGCACCAGGGGATGGGCCAGCCCAGAGGGGAGCCCAGGGAAGGGGCAGCAGCCCCTTACCCGCTGTTTGAAGTAGTCCCTCTCCTCCAGCGTTAGCGTGTCGGCTTTGGCGATCACCGGCACGATGTTGACCACTTTGCTCAGGCGCTTCATGAACTCGATGTCCAACGGCCGCAGCCTGGAAAACAGCAGGAAAAAAGGGATTTGAAAACAGCAGGAAAAAGGGGATTTGCACTTCTGGAAAATGGCAGGAAAAAGGGGATTTGCTGCTGCAGTCCCCTGGCAGGGAGAGACATTCAAAGAGCAGACAGAGAGGGAATCGTTTCCTTCCAGATAGGAGGAGTAAAGAGGGTTTGAAAGCACTTTAAACATTTCCCTTTCAAAGCTGCCGCTATCGGCTGTGAGCCCTCACAAAGCCCCGTGAAGTGGCAGAGGGCTTTTATCTCTGCAGGGCCACAGAGGACTGCAGGAACTTGCCCACAGCTCCTGGTGTCCTTGGTGGGGCTGGGATGAGAGCAGGGCACTGCAAATCAGATCCAAACCTGCTCCAGCTCTGTCCAAGCTGTCACCAACCATCCAGGGACAGCACAATGTGGAAATGGCCACAGGTGAGACCATCCCTGCTCACATTCCCCCTGTGTTGAGCACCAGTTGCTTGGGACAATTACTAAGAGTATTTCTGCATGTCTCAATTAATATCTGCTTCATAATTTGCTCCCAGAGTATTTGGAAGCACCTGTTACACTGGTGGTACAAAAGCAATAAAATGTAAATTAATATTTTGCAAAATATTTATGTTGTTCAAAGTGATACATCCAGATATATTTTTTTTACCCAGAAAACTTGATGCTGAAGCTTTATCATATGCCTGCACAGGATTTTGATGTAGGGAGCCTTTAAGTTCTCCATCAATGTCACACAACAATCTGTGATTCATATTGGTCTCTAGATTTCTTTCAAAGGGTCATACAAAAAGGTTGTAAGAAAGGGTTTACTTTAAGCAAACCCTAAAGTCTGTGGTTATGCACAAGCTGGGAGTGCCTCTCACATTCATCAGCTGGGATTAAAAAAAGCTCTGGACATTCTCCAGGGGCTCACAGAAGAGATGCTGCTTGTTCCAGAGGGCAAAAATGTCAGAAAATCTCTACAACAAAAGTCTCAGCAGAGGAAAGCTGCAGGGATTGCATAACCCCAGTGATCAGTGCCTTGGGAAATCCCTCCCTGCTGACAGCTCCACTTCCACATCAAGGCTGCAGACAGCAATGAGGGCACCTGGCCATCATCCCCTGAAGGTGTTTGAACTGCTGGGGGTCCCAAACCAGGAGAAAACCCTCCTTGGGACACCTCCAGGTGCTGCAGGTCTCCCTTGGTGGCTCTGAAGGAGATGGGGACATGCAGCACAGCTGAGTAGGTGCTGCCTTGAAAAGGAATCCTGGAGGCCCCAGGGTCAAGGATCACCTTTGAAATGAGCCCTCACTGAAGGGCCAAGAGAGCACCCACTGCCAAACCCCTCCATGGTCTCCCTGTGCCCCACAAAGGGCTCAGAGACCCCTGCAGAGCCAGGCACAGGAGTGCAGAGGGGAAGGGACTGATCCTGCCCCTCAGCAGCCACCAGGCAGTGTCCCCATCCCACGGGGACACCTCTGCCTGGCTCCATTCAGCCCCTGAGACCCACTCAGCTCCAGCTGACTGGAAACAGCAGCTCTGGGGTGCCCCAGAGCAGCCAGCAGTGGTGACCCAGCTGAACCCTGCCCTGGTCATCCCCTCTCCCAGGGATGGAGCCAGGTGGATCCTGTCCTCACACACCAACACACACAGCCCTGAGCACATCATTAGCACAGGGACAAACGAGGTCCTAACACAAACACAGGGTCACAGATCACCCTGGGCCCCAGCAAAGAGAGATTTTGGCTATTAAAGGGAAAAAAGAATAGGAAAAAACCACAAGGAACCCCCCATGGACACATCTAAGCTGACTTGCTGCTGGCAAACATTGTTTGGAGCTCTGCATAATGTATTTCCCAGACCTCCAAGGAAGTAATGCAGCAATGCTCCTTTCCCAGCAGAATTCTTTCCCCTCCTCTCTCTTTGCTATTTTCCAAACAATTTTTCTCCTCTAAAAGCTTCTTCCCCACTGAGCCTGTGTTCCTGCCTCTTTCATCAGCTTTTCCTTTAAAGACCAGGATGCATACAGAGCATGAATCCACAATCAGGCAGACATTAGAGTTTCAGCAAAATCTACACGTTAAAAGCTCAGTTCCATCCCTCAGATCCCTCACACATCTGGAGGATGCTGAGGATGCCACAGTGCCTGCCCACACCCCTGCTGTGTCCAGCAGCATCCCCCAGGCACAGTGACCTTGTCCATCTGCACCCAGGCACCTCTGACAAAACTTTCTGCTCCAAAACTCGGTTTTAAGGGTTTTCTGCAAGTTTCTAGATATCTTATCAACTCCTGCTAGGTAGGTAGCTCCCCCCAAAACTTTAATTATGTAAAAGGAAGTGAAGCTTTTCACCCAGAACAATGCCTGCCTGCAGCTACACATCATATTCATGTGAAGACATGATGGATTAAGGTGGTGACAAGTGCTGTTTGCTCCAAGCACATCACAGAAGAGAATAGAAGGCTCAAAAAAAACCAAAAACAAATCTATTTTCCTCCCCTTCTGCAAATGGTCCCTGATATTATTAACTTACAACATACACATTTTGGGCTTTGCTGGGAGGGGTGGAGGAGCTTAAAGGGGAGTGGGTGGGCTGGAGCAGGGGGTGCAATGTTGGGGAAGATGAAACAGGAAAGCCTTATCAATATGATTGCCTGGCAAAAGATTTTGAGAACATAGAAACTATAAGTGAGATTGAAATGAAAGCAAGCTTTGAGATACCTCAGTTACTGAACAACTGGAAAACAATGGTGTGGCCAGCTGAATGTAATCCCCTTTTGATGGAACAACACCCTCTGCTTGCAGACAGGCCCAAGGGTCAGAGCAGACCCTACAGCTTGGCAGAAGGGGCCCAAAGAGGAGTTTTTAGGGTTTAAAATGTAACACAGAATGGTAATGCAGTGATTCTTATAGGCTGTATGTAAATGCTGTAGGATTTGTATCTTGTACTAGATTGGTTAGTGAGAATCAGAATATTCAACAGAGAAGAGGATTTATGTTATTGTAATGGGAGCCTCGCTCTCTTGCCTTTTACTCTCTTACCCTTTTACTCTCTCACTCTCTCCCCCTCTCTTCTCTCAGGCCTGCTCTGAGCTGTGGCTGGCAGCTCCCAGCAGGGCCCTGCACCCAGGCCCTTTGCAATGAACCCCAAATCCAGTCCTGGCTGCAGAGATCTCTGGTCTCCGTCTGTCCCAACCGTCCCAGCCCCTGATGCTCTGACAGTGCAGCATGGGCTCAAACCACTCCAGGTGCTGCTGGCTGTTCCTTCATCCCCTCCTGCTGTGGGCTTGGAGGAGGCTGTGAGCTGGGCACACCTTGCCAGGGCTGGGCACACACTGTGGTGCCCAGGACACACATTTTTATTTCTGCCACTGTGCACAGACAGGATCTAAGCACAGGCTCATTCCTGCTGCTTCCCCTGAAATGCTGTTACAGGAATCAAAATCCACAGTGAGCTGTGAAGTTATTTCCTTTTGGTTGTGCCCCAGACCAAACTAACTGCAGGAATTTGAGCTGTGTGTTAAGCAAACACCAGTGAGGACCCACAGCTGCCCAGCCCCATCACCTGCTCCAGGGAGCTTCTGGGCACCTGAGAGGGGCAGCCAGAGGGGAAAGAGGGAGTGGGTAGCAGTTCCTGAGCCACCAGCCCTGGCAGAGGTGCTGATGGGGCCAGGCAGAGTTCCAGAGCCACTCCTGAGCTGAACTGAGCTTTGCAGGGGTCACAGCAGGGATATTTATTGGCTGGCAGAGCCCAGCCTGTGCAGCTGCAGCTGGAAGCCCCAGCCAGCACCATCCTCAGCCTTCACGGATACATGGGAGTGTTACAGGCCGTGTGTGAACTGCATGGGCTGCAAAGCCTGTCCTGAACTCCCTTGTGAGCTCCCTCATGCAGCAGAAACTTCTCTGCTGATTAACCCTGGAGCTGCCTGGATGGGAGAGCCAGACTGAAGCAATCAATCCTGAGCCAAGCAATCCTGTGCTCCTGCCTCCAGATCTCTGCACCAACTTTGTTGGGTTTTTTTTATCTCTCACTCCTAGATAAGCAAAAAACAAGCTCTCACCCAGTGCCCTGGCAGGCTTCACCCAGCTGCACAGGGAGTTCTGTGCCATTCCCAGCCATGCCAAGGACCTCAATGCCCTTCCCATACCCTGCTGCAAGGGACCATGGACCTGCTGCCTCAGCCAGGGCACAACCTGCACCCAGCTGTGTGTGACAACCCCAGGACAAGGCTCCCCCACAGGATCCTCTGCTACAGCACTGTCACAGCAGCTCCACCCTGCAGGAGAGGAGGCCACATCACCCTTTGCTGGGGAAAGCCTGCCCATGATGATGAAAAACATAATTTGGTCTTCACAAGAGAGCAGAGAGGAACCCTAATTCCTGCTTGAGCTCTCAGAGAAGCAAAATTTCCCATCCCAGTGGGGTTTGTCCCTCAGGTGGCAGGAGGGGACGGGTGAGCCAGTGACAGTGGGGACAGCCCCAGCCAGGCTCTCAGCCTGCAGGGAAAGAGGATCAGCACAGGGCTCAGCAACAACAGCCCCCAACTGCTGGGCTCACTCAGATATTGGAAACACATGTTCACTGGAGAGAAGGAAAAAAAGCAGCTGAAAATCCACACAATTGCTGTTGGCCGGCGGGTGAGAGAAACCAGAGCGCGGCTGGAGAGGCTCCACCAGGGGACCCAGAGTGGGGCTCCACATCCCTGCCTGCACTGCCAGGCACCCAGCACACCCCCCCTCTGAGCATCAGACCTGCTCTTTAAGAGTTAAACAGCCAGAGGGGTGAGGAAAAGCTGGAGCACAGCTAAAGCTGCAAGTCAGACCTGCCGAGGCAGGGGCCACAGATCTGGGCTGAGATTAGTGGGACCAACATGTTAGACTGGCCTAAAAATGTCATTTCCCTTTGAAAGCTTCTCTGTTTTATTGTATTCAACCATAAATGTTTCATCAGCCCCTCTGCTCCTGATCAGTTACACAAGAGGGGCATTTCTGGCCCATGCAGGCATTTTATTCCAGTGAAGGATGCATTTTTGGTCTACCCACTGACAGAAGCAAAACAAAGTCTTTTCTATTGGAATAAATCTCCACATGGGGAAGTGGAAAAGGCTGACATTAATGCAGTGCTGGAGGCTTAAGTTTACTTTTGAAAACAGACCCAAAAACATCCCCAATGCAGAGAGAGCCAGAAGTGGAAGGAATTGACACAAATCAAAAGGAAACTTCGGTCTCGTTTTCTGTTGTGATACTTTAAGTCACATTTTTCAAGACATTTTAAGTGCCCCAGATTTTCAGGGTGGGCTGTGTGCCTAGGAGGGGGGAAAAAAAGAAAATATAAAAGGAAAAAAAAATAGAGCAAGATCTAGGCCTTTTGATGTTGTCACTTGAGAAGTGCCAGAGCCAGGAGAACTCTGGACTGAATAAACAGCATCCCTCTTGTAGTCAAACAACTACAAAATACCCTTATGGGGTGAGGGTTTTCACTGCCTTAGAAGCACAAGGAAAACTTTACAAAGAAAAAAAAAATTAATGTTCTGCTTGCAAAAGTAGCCTCTCCATCCAATTTGAGACCTGGTTCCATCCTTGGTTGAGCAAGCCAAGTGACCAGAGCAAAGGCAGCAGCTCCCAGGAGCTCAGAGAGGATTTCATGGCCCTTCAGAAGAGGAAACATTTCATTTCTCTGGGGTACAGCAGCTCTGCTGTGTTATTGCAAGGCCTCCTGAGGATGGCTTCAAGCTGTCCTGGAGCTCCTCAAGCCCCAAAACCCATGGGAGGACCCTGGGCAGAAGTGCCCTGAGGGCTGAGGGGAGCAGGGACAGCAGGGTACGTACGAGTGGCCCGTGGCTGGGATGAAATAAATACAGCAGTGCACCCTCGTGTCAGGGATCTGCTTCTTCCTGTTGATGTTGATCTCCTCCTGCAGGTACTTCTCATACTGGTCATTGATGAACTTCATGATGGGCTGCCAGCTGCAGAGAGAGGGGAACACAGGGCGGTGTGAGGGACCTGGACCACTCTGGGATGTTCAGCACCTCCTAAATCACAAACCTCAGGTGTTCACTGCTTAGCAGCTCCACACACTGCTGCAGGAGGGGATTTACTGGCTGCTTTAGACAAGCAAGTGCCTAAAAATTGCTCCTTTCTCTCCTCCTAGACCTGGCTGTGGAGCAGCACAGCCCTGGCTCCTTGCAGGGGGCCACAGCACAGGAGCAAGAGTAGAATCAAAGCCCACAAGCCCAGCCCAGCTGGTGGTGGGGACAATGTCCCTGCCATAGGCCAGCCCTGCCAGCCTTCCAGAGCCAGACACTGTGCCAGGGATGCCAGGCAGAGTTCAGCCTCCAGAGCCACATGAGCAGGCTCTGGGGACTGGCCCTGCTGGCACACAGCTGCTCCCAGGCACAAACAAAGGTTGTCTCATGCCTGGAACAGCAGGATGTTTGTGGCTCTCACAGGGAGCATGGCACTGCTCTGCCACCACAACAACCTCCCTCCTGCTGCCCACGGAGCAGGGGGGCACAGCACCAGCTCCATCCCTGGGCACGGGCTCAGGGGGTGCTGGGGGTCCCCTGGCCTGCCCCTGACCCAGGGCAGAGGGGCAGCTCACCAGTTCTCGTTGTTGATGTGGTCCCCAAAGCCCGGCGTGTCGATGACCGTCAGCTTCATGCGCACTCCCTTCTCCTCAATCTCTGCAAGAGAGCAAAGCTGCGGTGTGAGGGCAGTGCTGATGGGTGCTCTGGCCAAACCCACCCTCCCAAAACCAGTGCAGGGCTGGAGCTTGCTCCCAGGGGAGAAATGCACCTTCACAGCTCCTCAGAGGCACAAATCAGCCATCCAAAGGGATCTAACCCCATATCCACCCTGAAATGCCACTCCCACAGCCCCTTCCAACACAATTAACTCAATGCTGATGAATAAATAAAAACCAGATGTTTTCTCAGCCCTGCAAGCATCTATGGATAGCAAAACCCCATTTAGAGAGATAAGAGTGGAGGTTTATGGAGGTTCAAAACTCTGTGAGTCCCAGAGACACAAGGCAGAGCACGACCTAAAGCCAAAGCAGCAGGTGGGACCTGCAGGGCCTCACCATGAGTGATGGATTTGATTTCAATGGTCTTGGGGATCCTCTCCTCAGCAGTTGGCTGTACAGATTTCCGGCTGATCTTGGATTTGAAGAGAGTGTTGATTAACGTGGATTTCCCCAAGCCACTCTGACCTGGAAGAAAGCAGGATAACCCAGAGTCAGCACTCCCTGCTCTGGCAGGGGCCAGGGGATGGGGCTGCTGACAGACTCAGCCTGCACCAGATGGGATGGAGGGAAGGAGGGAGGGAGGGATGAGGAGCAGCTGCTCCCCTGCAGCTCCCCCAGGCCAAGGAGCTCCAGGCCAGCCCAGCCAGGAGGATGCTGCAGGTAGCAAAGCCCCTCCCTGGCTCCAAAGCAGCAAACCAAGAGCTGGTTCCCTGCATCCAGGCAAAACCCCAGCAACCCCAAGGACAGGCAGACTGTGCTGGGGATGTTTGAAGGGCTGTGGTGATGCTGAGCAGGGCATGGGGACCAGGGAACTCCAGGAAAACCATCCCAAGTGTGCCTTCACTCTCCTGCAGTCTGCTCTGCCCAGGTCCATGGGAAGGCTGGGGAGCAGCTTGGCAAGCCTTTATCTGGACAGGACTAACAGCAGCAACAATCCTGCAAACCTCAGACCTGCTGCATCTGCTGCTGCTTCCCTGACAGACTGTGCTGCAATCACCCAGCTGGTTGCACAGACACAGGTCCATGCCAGGAGCTTCTCTGAATCCCACAAACAACAGCCCAAGAAGCACATGAAATTCCACAACTTTAGAAAAACAGCTTTTAGAAAAGCATTTTCATGCTTTATATCCCAGAGCTGATGCTGACCTGTGAGGAAAGGACAGCAGCAGCTCCTGACTCTCCAGGAAAAGCTGTCCCATGAGCTTGGAGAACAATTTTTCCAGAGTGCAGAAAACAGAATTAACTCTTCAAAACCCAGGGAGCAGAAAAAAATTAACTCCTCAAAACCCAGGGCCCCCTGCAAACACTGCAGAGATCTTGCACACACCACAGGGACCCAATGGCCCCTTTCTGCCAAGATGTTACAGCCAACTATCCTGGCATTGTCACCAGCATGTCCCTTGTCCCACAGAGTGTCCCTGAGCAGAGTCAGCAAGGGTTTCACCCACATCCTTCAGGGTCCTGGACCATCCAGGCTGCCAAAGTCAATGGTAGGACCAACCAGCATCACCTCCTGGCATCACCTCACTCCCTGATCAAACAGCAATTTTACAGCTGAGCTTGCAACATCACCAATGGCTGCAATCCAGCACATGAAAACTCCCTTTGACTGTCACTGTCACTGCTGGGCAGTAAGAAACACATGGCCCAGGCTGGGGGAAGTGCTCCCAGTCCTCTGCTGCCTAAAACCACAGGGCAAAGCACTAACAGACCTGGAGCTGGGCATGCAGAGCCAAAACAGAGCTCTCACTGCACACTATTCACCATTAAACGGGAGAGGGGAAGAGGGGAAGTGACACACTGGGGACAGGTGAAATCAGGGTGACACACTGGGGACAGGTGAAATCAGGGTGACACACTGCCAGAGTGGGTCTCTTTGTGCCTGTCCAAGCTGCTGCAGCTGCACTGCTGGAAAGGGACCAGAGGTGAGAGTCACCAGCAGCCAGGATGTGATGCCCCATTGGCACCACAGCCACAGGGTGACCTCACTGAGCCACAGTGGGGACCCTAAGGCTGTGACACAGGCAGCTGAGCACAGGGCAGAGCTCCCTTCCATCAGCACTAGTGTGCAGCCCACTGCCTTTCCCACAACTGGAATCCAGTGGGAAAATCACAGCTGAGCCTGGCCACCTCTGCTCTCTTTCCAGCTGCTTTGCACAGAAAACTGAATGCAAAATTTGTGCTTTGGGATTGGGATTTTTAAAAGTTCAGACATTCCTCTTCATCTCTGCAACTTCAGAGGGCAAGGGACTAAGCTGACCACAGCCTGCAGCCCCCTCTCAGCTCTGGCTGGGAGTGTGAAACCCTTTTGAATGGGGACCTTGCTACAGTGGGGTTTTCACAAAGCCCCATCACAGGGACACAGTGAGTGAGAAGTGACCACACATGGCAGTGATGCTCAGTCCCCAACTCCCTCCTGTAAGACAGAGATTGGAACAATTCCAGCTCAAGGACTCACACTTTAGGCTGGATGGGTGTGATGGAGCTAAATCCATCCCTAGGGAGGCACAGCAGGATGAGGGCTGGCTGCTGCCCCTGCCCCAAGGTGCTGCTCCCCTGCATCTTCTGGGAGGGCCAGAGCTCCACTTGTTTATGCTGCCCTGAATTCCCAGCCTGTAAACAGCCAGCCCAGCTCCTGCCAAGGGCAGAACAATGTTTTCCAGGCACGCTGCAGCACAGGCCTCCATACCACACACAGTGCTGCCAAGGCAGAGCTGCTCCTGAACATCCCACCCCATCTGCACAGCACACTGCTGAGGCAGCACAGCCTGCTCCTGGAGGGATGGGAGCCTCCTCCAGCAGGGAAATGGGAGCTCAGCACAGGGAATCTCTCTTTCAGTCTCCCAGGACCAGTGCAGTGATTCCTCTGTTTGCAGCAAAAAACTGGATTTCTTAAAACATCTCCCAAGAACTGGTTCTGGTTTTTTGCAAGCTTTCTCCACGGCCTCAGGTCAATTGTAGTGCTCTTTTGAGGGCCTTTCAACACAGAAAGTCTAAAATTCTCAGCAGGGAGGGTTCTAACAATCGTGCACTGACCAGCCTTGCTGTGATCACCCAGCCCAGGGAACCTTCCCTGCAGAGGGAATGAAAGTATCACAAGGGAAAGGCTGAGCACCCACAGAGCTTGCTGGAAAGCTCCAGCACACTGAAATCTTTAACAGAATTAGCAAAAACTCTGGATCACAACCCCAGGCAGACCTCCAGGATGTCCATAAGGAGGATAAGGAATGGTGAGGCCCTGTCACCACACCCCTGGTCACTGCCTGGGATTTACTCCCCTCATCCCCCTGCAGCTCCCCTGGCAGACACAGGCAGGGAGAGCTGACACCTGACCAGCCCAGCCCCAGGGAGCACAAGCTCACACAAGGGCTCCATAGCACCAGGTCAGATATTAAAAGCTGGAAAAGAGCAGAAAAGCCTCATTTCTTTTCCCTTTTCCCCTTGGCTGGTGTCCCACAGTGTCTACCCAGCTCTCCAGCATTGTGCAGGTCAGTGGCTGGGCCATCCCTGGTTCTGGGGGCTTGGGAGCTGCAGGAGCACAGACCCTGAAGCTGCAGCCAGAGCAGCAGTGATGCAGCCAGTGTCATTAACCCAGGAGAGCTAATGAGCAGGAGCCTGTGGGCAGGAGGATTTGGGCACACAACCCTCCAGCCCTCCCTCCTTGCATGTGGACACTCCCTGGGACACCCTGCAGGTCCCCCAAGGAGCCAATGACAGAGCTATGCAAACCCCTCCTGCTGCTCTTTATTTCCATCAGTAAATCACTGCTTTTGGCATTTCTTCCCTGGTACTTCTAGCAGGGCTGCCTGAATACAAAAAAAAAAATCTCAAACAGGAATTTTACCCAAATTGCTGGAGGTACCAGCAGGGATGAGGGTTCTGGAATAGCAGCAGCTGTGCAGCTCCTTGAGCCCTTAAATGTGCATTCTGACAGCTCAAACCAGGGCAGGAGTTCCAGGAGAGCTGTCCAGGGAGCTCTTGTGAGCCCTGACGAAGCTCCTTCCCCCAAAAGCCCCTCGAGGTGCTTTCCTCTGGGATGTGCTGTGGACAATGCACCCCAAGATGCAGGAGGATGAGGACCACATCACACAGACAGCTTTAACCCCAGCTGACCCCAGGCTAGCTCCTTGAGAGCAGGGTTTGCTGACTGCCAAGGCAGAGCCCTCAGCGCTGCTCCTAAGGAGGCTCCACAGGGGACAAACATTGTGGTGGCACAATGACAGCACAGGGGGAACAACTCACCCACGACCATGATGTTGAACTCGAAGCCCTGTTTCATGGCTTTCCTCCTCAGCTGCTCCAGGATGGCATCGATGCCCACGTAGCCGAAGTCGGCAGCCGGCTTGTCCGGCCGCGCCGGCGCCGCCTGCTTGGGGCCGGCATCGCGCGCAGCGTCCGTCATGGCGGGAGCGGGGCTGGGAACGGCCTCTGCACCTGGGGGGACACACAGCCTGCTCACACATGCTGCTCCTGCTGCCTCAGCTTCTAGATTTTATAGCTTTTATATTTTTCAGATTCTCTGTTGATTTAGTGTGTGGGTCTGGGCTTCATATGAGGGGATGGTGAGCTCTGTGCACAGAGCAGAGAGACAAAACAATTCCTGCTCCAACTGGGGGACCAAGGACAAATGATCCAAATCTCAGGCCCAAGGGCACAAACAACGTGGGCTGAAGACAGAAAACCAAGAAGGATGGGACTTCACCAGCTAAAGCTGTAATTGGACAATTAACTCCAATATGCAAATGGACCAGAATGTACAGCCCCAACCCTAACCCCATGGCCAGTCATCTGCCGCAGACACCTTTCATGAAAATCCTTTCCTTAGGATTTTTCCTCCTGAGAAGCTGAGAGGCCTCAGGAACAAAATGTAAACATTGACTATCTGCTGCTGCAGAAAGCAACAGGTGGGTCTGTGATTGGTCCATGTTGGATGTTTGTAATTAATGGTCAATCACAGCCCAGCTGGCTCAGACACAGAACCCAAGCCACAAACCTTTGTTACCATTCTTTGCTATTCTATTCTTAGCTAGCCTTCTGATGAAATCCTTTCTTCTATTCTTTTACTATAGTTTCAATGTAATATATATCACAAAATAATAAATCAAGCCTTCTAAAACATGGAGTCAGATCCTTGTCTCTTCCCTGATCCAAGAACCCCTGTGAACACTGTCACAGTTGTCCATTTTGGGTTCATCCGGGGTGTAGCCCTGGCTGGGTCTTGTACTGCCCAAGGTGGATCCATTAAAACCTTCCAATAAATACCTACTTTATTCTTTAGCTCTGTCTAGCCTCTGTCCTAGGCCAGCCTTCACAAGGAATCACAGGAGCTGCATCCAAAGCAGGAGTAAAGCACGTGCAGAGACTCACAGTACCAGCAGGCTGGGTGAGAGGAGGAGTGTGGGATTTTCCTCCACAATAATTACATTAAATTTGGGAATTTCTTTCTCTGTTTACTGTTTTCACTTTATCCCTGCCCACTCCACCAAAGCTGGCACAGCAAAGGGATGCTGCTGTGCGGGTGTGAGCAGGACCCAGCACCCAGAAAGTCCTCAGCCCATGTCTGGGAGTGACAAATGCTTTTGACCCTGTGCCCAGGCAATGCTGTTAAAGTCTGGCAGACCTACACATCCCACTCCTCCACAGCACTGGAATCACAGCACTGCTGGTGTGAACAGCTCAGCCACGTTCTGGGGGGAGCTGGCTGGCTCTGCAGACACAGGCAGACCTTGGCATCCACTGCCACGTGCCCTCCTCGAGCTGCAGCTGACGCAGATCAGAGCCTGCCGGCCCTGGCTTGTGGAAAACCCAACACATTTGCATCAAGACAAGCTGTGCCAGACAACACCCACACAGCCACGGAGCTCCTGTGCTCTCGCTCTCATTCTGTCCATATCTACTCAGAAACCCAAAGCCTTCAGCTTCCCTCTGAGACAGGCTGCCTGTCTCCTCTACAAGATGCTCCAGCCTAACAGTCCTTCAGGAGAAGCAAATTTAACACTACTGCCTCAGCCAACAGCTTTTTAAGAAAAACCAGGGGATTATCTATTTCTTGGCAGGAGCATTGGCTGCCGGGAAGGACAAAGCACCCCAAGTGCCCCGGGGTGATGTGGCCTTGTCCCCTGCCAGCCCCAGCTGCTCTGCATCACTCACAGCAAATATCCCAAAGGCAGAGTGAGCACAAGATCAGCCCAGTCCCCTGCAAGCTCCTGGAGGCATCAGCCCCATGCAGGCACAGAGAGGGAGGTTTTTAGGAAAACACACTTCTAAAAGCCCTCCCTACCCCAGGCTGCTGCTGCTCACTGCCTGGGTCCTGCAGCCACCAGCCTAAATGAACATTATGTTGTTGCTCAATGTTTTGCAATGATTATTTATTATTCTTTAATCATTTATTATTATGAATAAAAACATTATTATTTGCAAAGTCCTCACCCCTCCAGACAGCAATACAGTTCTCAGCTCATCTCACACCATGTATTCCTGGCCTTTGATGATGTGCTGCCTGCTTTTCTCTCCCTCCCTCTCTCTGTAGGAGTGAGGCTGGGCCAAAGGGGCTCCTCCAAACACAAGCCCATCATCCCTTTTCCTCTGGCCATCTCAGACTGGACCCTGCTGGGGTCTGTGAGGTGGAACCACACTCTTCCTGCAACCACAGCACATTTCCACATGCTTAATATAGGCCAAGCAGAAAAAAAAAAAAAAAAAAAAAGAAAGAAAAACAAACCTAGAAATAATCCCAAAGACTGTTGGGTCACTTTGAACACTTTTTTCCAACCCTCAGTCCCAGCTGAGCATTACTCACAGAGCTTCTAGAGAGCAAATATGCTGTCCCTGAGAGGCATGGGAGCATCCCAATCCTCCTGGGAACCCTGCACAGCTGGAACTGCAGTGCCATGGGAGCAGGAACATTGCACAGCTGGAGCTGCACTGCCATGGGAGCAACCAGGGACCCTGCACAGCTGGAACTGCACTGCCATGGGAGTAAGAACATTGCACAGCTGGAACTGCAGTGCCATGGGAGCAGGAACATTGCACAGCTGGAACTGCACTGCCATGGGAGTAAAAACATTGCACAGCTGGAACTGCACTGCCATGGGAGCAGGAACATTGCACAGCTGGAATTGCACTGCCATGGGATTAAGAACATTGCACAGCTGGAACTGCACTGCCATGGGAGTAAGAACATTGCACAGCTGGAACTGCAGTGCCATGGGAGCAGGAACATTGCACAGCTGGAACTGCACTGCCACAATGCCCCTCACAAAGTCACCCAGCCTAGCATGCCCAAGGCCTCACCACAAATCCCAAATTAGCCCCATCCCAAAATGGCAAGGCCAAAAGTAGCAAAAAAAATAAATCCCTGCAAAACATTAAAAATAAACCCAACAAAATGACAAGTTAATCATGTGGAAAATATGCTGCACCAGCAGCAACACTGGGTTATGCAATGGGTTTAACTCCTCCAGTCACCACTTGTGTGCATGGGACAGCCCCAGGGATGGGACAGCAAACTGGGACACTGGGCAGGTAAGGTGCAGAGAAATTAAGAAATTAAATAGAGCAGAAAGCCAACCTCCACTTGATAAAAGCCAGGAGCATCTCCAGCACCTCAAGGAGCAGCTGGCAGCATGCAGAGGGGCTGACCTGTCCCTGGCAGGGGGATGTGCAGGAAAACTGTCCCCAGCACAGGGAGCAGACACTCCTCACCAAACTGCCCTCAGGGGGAGGAGAAGGACTCAGGGCTCACCAGGCTCCAGCCACACCAAAGCCACAGGAAAAGCAGCACCCCTGACAGGACAGCCCATGTGCTCCAGCTGGTCTGTGGGGAGCTGTGATTTAAAGCACCTGGGTCCTGACTGGAATAAAATACAATAAAATCAGTACATTGCAGCTAGGAGTGTCTGCAGGACAGCAGGGATGCAAAGCCACCAATGCCCCAGCAGCACCAGCAAACTCCCAAGGGAAATGCCACAACTCAAATGCGCAATTTTTTCTTTTTTTCAGCTTCCCAGAATCGAGATGGTCTTTTCTTAGCAAGAACTCCAGTGTCACACTCAGCTCCAAGGGGTTGTGCCAGCAGAAGGAGGGTGCAGCCACAGCACAGGGCCAGTCAGTGGCACACAGGGATCAGCCAATGGCACACAGGGATGCTGTGCTGGGTGGCAGGGAGCACTCCCAGCAGACACTTGTCTAAAATATAAAGGTCTCAAAAATAAATTGCAGCAGAGCAGTGGATGCCTGGGATGCATCGTGGGCACATCCTGGATTTGTGTGAGCTGCTGTGCTCTGAGGGGAGGATGTCAAACCTGTGGTGCTGTCAGAGCCAGTGTCACCAAACTGACCCTTCTGGAGCACTGCAAGGAGGGGTGGGTTAACAAACACCCCATTACTGTCTGCAGTCCCTGGCAAGAGCAGGACCTGACCTCACATGATTCCCCACAGTCACCTTAACCCAACTGTTGTCCCTCACACAAGGGGCCATCACTTCACTGGCGGGGCAGAGAGCTCAGAGCCTGCAGCTCTCTCCCACTAAAGTGTTCCTGGACAAACATCAACACATGGCAACAAGTGCTTGTGCCATATTTAGACCTTCCCTGCCAGGGAAACCATGTCCAGGTGGGCACAGGAGATGTGGAGATGGCCAGGGCAGCGCTGCACCAAGCAGGGACAGAGCCAGAGCTCCAGCTCGGGCACGGCTGACTCAGGACAGCTGCTCCAAAGCTGATTTTGCCAAAGGCTCAGGGCTGTTGCTCTGTAATTGATGCATGTCAGACACGAGCCAAAGGCAACATCTGTGAAGCAGCAGATGAAAGCCACCCCGCGGGGAGGGAAGCCCCTGGGAGCCCCCCAGGGACCCTCCTGCTCCTCCAGCCAGCTGGATGCTGTGTGCTGTGGGATGGGCTTGGCCAGGGGCTGCTGGAGCTGCTGTGCTGGTGCCACGAGGCTGCCACAGCCCAGGACACTGCAGGCAGGGCAAGCAAGGACAGCCATGGGCTCCCCCAAAACCCCCGAGCCAGGAGCTGCTAATCCTCCCTGAGGGTCTGGGACAGGGATCTGCAGGAGACTGGGCTGCACTGCAGACACACAAGGGTTAAAGCACCCTCAAAGAGGCTGAACTGGGAATGCCTCACCCACCCCAGGTCCTGGCTGAATCCAGCAGCTCCATGCTGTGCTGGTGAGCTGGGAGAGCAGAGCTGGTCACAGACCTGGTGCTCAGTGGCTGCACAGAGGAACCAGAGAGAAGCCAGGAGGCTGCACCTCTGCCATGGCCTCCCATCAACACATCCAAACCACCTCACACTCTGGGGATGCACACACAATCAATGGCTAAATGGCAGTGTGTGGGGAGTAAATCCAGGACACACCCTTTGGATGCTGGAACACCAAGCACTGGCCACCTTTCAATGATGCTGCAACCAGTTCTGCACAGCTACAGG